CCCCCGACCAATGCCCCGATCACCCCCCCTCCACTCGGGGACAATGGTCCACTTTGAAAGAGAAGCAAGAAGAAAGAGGAGCCCGGTGTCACAGAATTGCCTGTTTGCTGACGGAATCTTTAAAAGCAGCACCTCATAAATCAAAAAGGAACATAATAGTCATTGTTTCTCCAAGAGKTGCTGAAATCCCCCTCCTCTTCTTTTTTTTTTTTTTTGGCTTCTTTGGCAGCAAGAGTGGGTAAAGTCAGGGGTGGAGATTTTTTATTTGAGTGGCCCTTTTCTTGTCGATTTGCCGCCTTTTAGGAGTCCATCACCACCCCCCTTTTTCTTTTCTCCCTTAGTGTCAGACCATCCCCTTGTTTTATGGTTCTGCAACCCCCAACACTAGATGTTTTTTTTTTTTTTAAATAAAAGAGAAACCTTCTCTGAGCTTGGATCAGCATAATCTGTCATTGTATCTGAGGTATCTGATGGTCGTGCTGAAAATCAGGTTATAAGGGGAGCCATCTCTGTTCAGTCGTGGACACTTTATATATGTTGGCAGAAGTGTTTACAAAACACTCGCTGGCTACATCACCATTGTGCACCAAGAAAAAGACAAATATCGTACAGTATGAGTCAAGCATTGGGTTATAACACCTTGTATTAACAGTTAAAGGTTGCGTCACATCTTTTTTTTTGACAGTGTACATGTGTTTGCTTTTTTTTTCGCATCCAGGAATGCTTTGCTAGCTCTGTCTTGCTCCTGGAAAAAAACCACATGCACGATCTGTTTTGATTTCAACGGGCTATTAATGAGCTTTTGGGAACAGAATCGCATTCCCTCCGTTTGCTCCATTCATCCCTCCGATGTGTCAGCAATCAAGTTGTTATCATAATTAGATCACTGGCACTGCGTGAGCATCACACAAATCTGCCAACACCGTTTCCATAAAACACTTTATTGCTCACCCAACGTTACCTTAGATGCTTTCTCGTTTCCCTCCCTTCACGAGGAAGGTTTCTGCACACGGATGTGTGCATTTCCAGAGAGCTGATGTTCCATGAATTAGCCATGAGCTAGATGGACATGAACTAGATTCCAGCTTTTATGGCATATTTCAAAGCAGGCGAATCTCTTGGGAACAATTTCAGGTTACTGGGTTCGCAGGAAGTGTGCATCCTTTACCTTTTTTGAGTTTATAAACGTGTTGATTTACAACAGATTTGAACGYGGATCTGCTGTCAACGTATCAAACAACAGAGTGGCCTCAGTAGCCGTGTTTCCATCAACGTTTTTATGCACATTTTGAGGTATTGCATTAGAAAAGGTTGATGGAAACAGCAAAATTCGGATAAACTTCTTCAAAGTCCCCAAAAAAAGGTTACACTCGCTTGAGGTTGTTTTTGGATTTTCTGAAAAAGAGCTAATGTGCAAAAGAGTAGATGGAAACACATTTGCCGAATGAGTTCTGACATGGTGAACATTTACCTCACATCATGATCAACTGTTTCTGCTGTCGGCGCCTTCATGGATATTCCCATAATGATTGCATTTCTTTTTCTACATCTCCAGACAGAACGTAGCATCGTCAATACTAGCTGATACGACAGAACAATTACAACTTACCRGATACAACTCTTTCCAGTGTCCCGAGGTGTGTGGTCCCTGCTCGTTTGCCACCTCRACTTCCTGTTTGTTACAACGATGCGTAACGACAGTGTCTAAAGAAATTATGCTTTGCGTAGTCTGGTTGATTCTCTCCAAACTAGTAGATTGAAATGTGCCTAATAGAGCTGCGCCGTATGACCCAAATTTTATACGTATCACGGTAGTGCTGGGCGGTATGACCTCAAATCCATATCACGGTATAAATTGAACCTCTTCACGGTAACTGTATATATCGCTGTAGAAAATTATAAAAAGTTAAGATAATGTAATTTTGAGCATTTTGTTTGCAGAAAACTGTAATCTTAATTAAACCCAACATTTTTTGCTTTAATATCTGCCTGCCAAACAATGAGCTTCTGCCTGCTGAAAATCAGCTGCTGCTCTGCTGCGCGCTCATCTTTATCATCTTCATCATCAGAGCAGAAGCCYACTTTACATTAGGAAGATGGATTTACGACTGAACGAATGTCCACGTCTTTTTTTTATAATCTCTGTGGGTAACAATACAAAAACTTTTTTTCTCCGACAATTGGGTGTGAAAAACTACAGTTAAAGCTTCGCTCTGCGCGACGTGCAGCGAGAGGGGGGAGGGAGGGKGAAAATGATCCCTCGACACGACGTAACTTTTCTACAGCGGGAGGAGAAAATTTTGAGGATTTATTCTCTCTATACGCGTTTTTAAAACGCTAGAATTTCTTCACTGTATTTCGAACTCCTCCTGCTCAGTTGTCTCTGCACTCGCAGCCCTGTTGATACAGGTGCGATGACGTAATGACGATATGACGGTAGAGTATAAATTTCTACCGTAGGCCAACTTCATACCGTTTCTACCATCTACCACCTATACCGCACAGCCCTATATCACGGTATTTTCAACGGTAACACCGGTTTGACGGTATTTTTCTTTTCATCACAGCTCAGCTGATGATAAAATGTACAAACCCTGCTTATTGACTTTTTTTCTTTTACTGTACCTCTGTCTGTGTCGCTGTTTCTCTCCTCTGTGTCTTTYCTTCTCTACCAATGGTTGGAGATAGTACTCGCGCATTTTTTGGTCCGGTCGTGAAGGAGGAGAGTTCAGAAACAATTATGATCGGGTTTATTGTTTTATGTTATTTAATAAATCTTATCAGGARGACTCACCTTGCACACCAGTCATTTCCAATTCCACTACATACTACCTCCCACGGGCTTTTCACAATAGAGCCACGTTGAGTCTCCATCAGCGTAACGTCTCCATATTAACTAATCGCGTTAAATCTAACCGTGCACGTCACTGAAGAGGTGTTTACTACGTTCAGCGATTGCAAAAACGGGATGTTTTTTTTAACATCAGTCAATATAAGCAGCAGAATCACCACTCGCTGCTGCAACTAGCTGCTCCAAAAATGACATTGGCATGCTAACTCATGTAGCAATGCTGCGAGGAAAAGTGTCCCCCAGGAAACAMTTCACTGGCGGCCGTGACGAAACGTTCCGCTTTTTAAACTGGTATGTCCAGTATTCAGAAAATACACATCATAACAAAAATAAAAACCGGTATTCAGTACAAAACGGTATACCGCCCAGCACTATGTCTAAGTARATTTTAAAAGTTTGCTCAAATGGAATGGATGGAAACATGGATATTAAGAGCTCTATCTCTGCTGTCGTTCTCTTGTACGTTTATTAATGTGCATTGTTTAATTTTGAGTGTCTGAATACTTAATGAAGTAACCTCAGACAAAGAGTAAGGCATCAGATCAGAGCAAACTGTGAATTCTGCTGACAATAACCTGCCGTTTTCTCAGATTACACTGACCTGGCATTAGGAAGCCTGGAGTCTGATTGATATCTGGTTCAATTTTAGGGCTGCGGTTCATGTGAAACATCTTTCACGTAACGGTCCGGTTTATAATTTTAAAAGGTCTTCTCTACACTGAAAGKCAGGAAAAAAAACCCTCATCTCATGTGGATCACACTGGCTGGGCTTCTTCCTGGTGCTGGGGCCAGAGTGGGAAAGGTGATACCCCTCTCAGTGTCAGTCAGACCGCTTTTATCGCCTTCACCATAAATTAGCCTCAGCGGTTTGCCACCAATTCTGAAATCTAATGCTGAGGGAGCACTTTTRCTTCAAAAGCAGTTGCTCTAAAGAACCGTTTGGTTCTGCCTGCATGTGTGTGAAAGGACCARCACCTTTGGCCTTTTTCTATAGTTTCCTACAACAAGCTTTATCTTCTTTTAGAGTGTTTTTTCTTCTTCTTTTTCTGTGGGTCTTTAGTTGGCGGTGATACCATGCTCTACACTTGAGTGCAAAACAGATTATGTCTGTTGAACCTAACATGGACACCTCCGTTCAGAAATACTTATAATCAAAATGCAGAGGAAGTATTGTAACTAAGAGTAAGGTGGGGGAACTTCACTCTTAATCCCTAATATGGTTAAATGAAGGTTTTGCTGAGTTTGATTGCACCGRAAATAAAAGGTTTTCTGTGTTTTGTCAGAGGTGAGCTGACTGAGTGACTGAGCTTGTTGGTGTTGGAGAGCTGCCTGCACTAATAGCTTAACAACCCTATAATAAAGCTAAACAGGCTCAGTGAGTCATTGATTGCAGAACGACGTACACTGCATCAACTTGATTACGTTGTGCAGGACTTTTCTCAGATTTTTACCTTCTCTTAATCTTTTTGTGTCTTCTTTTTTTCTTTCTTTCAGGGATCTGATGCCAAAAACTCTGGAGGGCCAGATCACCATGGAGAAAACCCCCAGCTACTTTGTGACCAGAGAAGCTCCGGCGAGGATCTCCGCCATGTCCCGGGACACCAAACTAATCGTGGTGGTGAGGGACCCGGTAACCAGGGCTATCTCAGACTACACCCAGACTCTGTCCAAGAAGCCTGATATTCCCTCTTTCGAGAGCCTGACCTTTAAAAACAGGACTACGGGTCTCATCGACACCTCGTGGAGCGCCATCCAGATTGGCATCTACGCCAAACACCTGGACAACTGGCTGCAGTACTTCCCCATGGACCAGATCCTGTTCGTGAGCGGCGAGCGTTTGATCAGCGACCCCGCCGGAGAGCTGGGCCGGGTCCAGGACTTCCTAGGCCTGAAGAGGATCATCACGGACAAACACTTTTACTTCAACCAGACTAAAGGGTTCCCGTGTCTGAAGAAAGCAGAGGGCAGCAGCAAGCCCCACTGCCTGGGAAAAACCAAAGGGCGAACCCACCCGAACATTGATCCTGAGGTGGTGCAGAGGCTACGGGACTTCTACAGACCCTTCAACATGAAGTTCTACCAGATGACTGGACACAACTTTGGTTGGGATTGAATTCAAAGTTGTGAAAGACATTCATTTTTTTTTTATTATTTTTTTCTATGTAATTCATTGGCAAGAAGTGGAGATATTGCTATATATATGTAAAATGTACAGAAATCTATTTTATAATAATTTATTTTTATTTCTAAGCAATTAATTCACTAAGCTGCCTAACCAGATTTGTGCGTAACATCTGACACGCCTGTTTTTAACATTCCTCATCCTAGATTTTGTTTTATTTTATTTTTTGGTTCACTCTTGGAAACTCGGCAAATGCTGTCATTTTTAAAAACCGGGCCATAAACTAGAGAAGCAGCATGTTACGTGTGCAGAGTGCTCCCAGAGAAGTGGAGGACACCGTTCCACGTGCAGCTTTGTATTTGCAATGTTCTTTTAATCCTCACATTTGGTGTTTTGGTTCATTTCTGCAAACCAGTTTTCGTATTTATTGGTCTCCTGTCCCATTCCACTCAATAACTCTTTGACCAAGAGGCCTAATTGATACTCATTGTGTCGCTCGTGCTTAAAGTATACAGCTGCCCTTTCATTCTCAGCGCTCCCGCTGCCTGCTCTAATGAACGACCCATCCATCAAACGGTAAATCCCATCTCGGACCACATCAGGCCCCCATGTTAACATTATGCTAATCGGGTAAAAGGTAACTGGCAGATCGATCGAGCTCCCGCTTCCTAACTCCCGCCCCACTCCTCGACTAGAAGCCGRGCTGGCTCGGAGCCAGACTCCTGCCCCATCCGCTCAGTTCAAAGGRCGCGCAAAGTCTCAATCAAATTTCCTTTGAGAGGTATTTGATTTGTTGAGGAGAGGAGAGCTGAATTTCAGCGGGTCATGAGTGTGTGCCTTGTTTCCACTGTCTGATTGAAAACCTTTTGCGTGAGGCTGCAGAGCCGTATCTGCCGGGCATCTTGCATAAAGGTAGAGGCGATGACAAAACTGTTCTGCCTGACTGAAATGGCACTCGTTCAAACAGAAGGAGTCCACCGGGCTTCATCTTGCAATCACACACTGATGGGATCAAAGCAACGCGAGCGGTTTTCACAAAGCGGGAATAATCTCAGGCAAGGGTCCGTTCAAATCTCGCGTGCCATCATGCATGGCCTATATAGCTTATGCCTTATCCACCGTTGTCATCCTCACATTTCACCTTTTCCACATCTTCAATCTCAACTCATTGCCAAAAATCCTTTAGGTTGAAATGTTTCACAKTATTTAGTTTCTAACCGCGCTTTGCCCTCCCCTGCATCGCCCCTTAGCTTTCCTCTTACTTGAATTCTTGATATGCAAGAGGGAGAAGGTGTGCGGTTATCAGTTTTTGGTGGGATGCCTCTGCGGAGGGTGGCATTCCTGTTTATAGTATCTGTGCAAAAACTATGCTATGCATGCTTAGCGTGACGACCATTATGTAAGTGCTGGCGTAATGGTGAGGGATCGACAACATCCAGAGAAGGGTTTTATGTTTTTTTTTCTTTTTTTTTTTTTTAAGTAGAGCCCAGACTGAATGTACACAAGCTATGCTAACATAGAGTAGTTTCAAAGCTAAGGAAATGTTGTGCCTCTTTGAGGGAAATGTTTGGACATTTTGAAGTGGGGGTTTTGTGGAAAGATTACGTGCATTTAATACACTCTTGTTGTAGCTAAAGCTAAAGTTTGACAGAACAGACAAGCTAATGATCAAAAAGAAAAAAATAAGTAGGTTGTCTGGATGGGTTCTCCTTTAGTGAAACGTTTCGGCTCTCCAAGAGACTTCTTCAGTCTGAGTTTCATGTGAACTCCGTTATAAGCCCTCTTTTGCATGTGACTAACCTGTTTGTCCATGTGGAGGCAGTGCTTATAAGGCAGAGTTCACCTGAAACTCATCAGACTGAAGAAGTCTCTCGGGGGAGAGACAAACCTTTTCACTAAAGAACTCATCCAGAGGACCTACTTATTTTTCCTTTTTGATTTTTTTTTCTACCTGGATTACTGAGATGCATCAGGACATGACAAGCTAATGGTTCAATCTTAAGTAGGGGTGTAAATCACCAGCTTTATCAGGATACGATGTATCGATTTGTTTGGATGATGATGCGATGTTTCTCGACCAAGTCTTCAATGATTTTTATTCAATTCAATCCACAAGTCTATGATCACATGCCCATTTAACACAATGATTGTGTTCGCTGGGCATATATCGATCCACATTAGAGAAATGATGATATGGATCCATATTTTTGTTTTACCTCGATGTAATAGACCATTTCATAGTTACAAGCAAATTCAACAAGCTAAAAAAGCAGATTCATAGCTTGAAGATATTTGTGACCCATCACATCGAAACGAGGATTAAGTCTAAAAATTGTATGTGGAGAAACAGGCAAGATATAGTGTTTCGATTAAAACACTTGCAAAAATTACATTTTGTCAAAATATAACAAAGAAATTGGTTCTCAATATATCATTTTAATGAACTCTCAGAAATATTATCCTAAAATAATTTTTTGAAGCACTTTTTTGAGCATCAGCAACCAAAAACCCATATTTTGAGGAAAAACGCCTTAAAATGTTGAGATTTTCCCTGTGAGCTATCAAAGCTTTTGTTTTTTTTTCCAGCTGGGAAATCTCAATATTCAGTTACTATTTGAGGTTTCTTTTTTCAAATGACATAAAAAACTCATTAAAATGACATAAAATTAGGATTTAGACCAAATATTTATGTATTATTGTAACCAACAAGACAAATTAATATCTCTGATGATATTAGGATAATCTAAGTATCAACATGTAGCTTTTAAAGCCAGGAATCTAAAAATATGATTAGGTCATTTTGACTAAATTTGATTTAATCCTCATTTCGATGTGATGGGTCACATGAAAAATCTCATCTATGATCTTAAAGGAAAACTGAACACAAATCAGTTTAAAGCAGATACATTGGGTCTGTATAACGGTGTAAATTTATGGGTTGAATTAGTTCATTTCCAATGGTGTTTCCATAGCACCTTCAGCGATTATCCAAAAAAATTGTTGGTCTGTTTTGTGCATTTGTAGCCTCTCACTAATCATTTAATCTGCTGTATGTATCGATGTGGATCGATGTATTGTTACACCCCTAGTCTAAAGTGGGTTACTGCTGTTTTATGCAGATTCTGTTTTTTAAAATTTTTACTCCACTGTCAGTTTGACATAAATCCTCAGACCTAAACTATATTTCTCTTAGTGATCAATTTGGAGACCTAGTTAAGATGTTGCTCATAACCTTTCCACAGAGTTCCACTTCAAAACACCCAAACAATCCCTTTAACCAACACAATTAGCCAATGAATTTACTATTTGAAACCAGCCACCACAAACCAACTGTTGCTATCCGGGGAGATGGAGGCTGTTACACTGTACTTTTTTCTTTGTTTTTTTTTTTTTTTACTTTCGCTCTTTCTGAGTGACGAACGCCTTCATCTCTCCTTTAGTGCAATGTTTGAGTATATATTAAAAAAATGACTTCTCATAACAAGCTGTCACGTATTCGGGAAGGAAAGTCATTTTTTCTTGAAGCTTAAAGGAGTAKTGCTTTCAAATTCTGGGGATGTTTAAAAACAATCCTTTGCAGACGTGGGTGAACTCCGTTTTGCTGCGTTGGTTATGGTTGAGTTTTATTCAACCTGTTTGGAGATTTTAAAAACATGTTGAAAATGTTTCATATCTGCATATAATATGTATTTAGACTTAGCAGATCTGTATGTGAGGAGACAGACAGGAAAATAAAAAGTATTTTGTGGTATGTATGTATGTCAAAGGAATTAATTTTACACAATACGAAAGAAAAAAAAGTTTCCATATGATTCGGTTAAAAAAAAAAGATTTCTTTGTATGAAGAAATAAATAAAAGTATATATTTTATCAAAACTAATTTAGTGCTGACTTTTATTTCTCTGATTATTTTTATTTTAATAGAGAAAACAAG